CAGGTATGATTCCTTTGACATTTTTTTCTCTTATGGGAGGTAACCAATTTTGGGGTGGCAAACCCTTCATTCAGAGTTCATGTCTTACCAAGAACATTAAGAAAAAGTTATTTATTTTAATATAAAATACTTTATACTTATGACACGCATAAATAGACTTTTAATTAAAATTTTAATAAGATAAACGACTTCCAACCACTAAACACTGCGTTGAATAATAACAATCCACGAAAAACCTTTATTTTTACGAGTGTTATGTCACTATTAAATTCCACAAGTACTTTCGACCTCCACCGAGGTCTGCTTCAGGTGGTGTCCCACGAAAAACCTTTGTAACGAGTGTTATGTCACTATTAAATTCCACAAGTACTTTCGACCTCCACCGAGGTCTGCTTCAGGTGGTGACTGGCTGTGTTTCGACCCAACCGTCATGACGATGTTGCCAACGATGTAAATAAATAACTGTGCACGTCGGGTTTCACCCCTCCGACCGACACTGTTCGAATTCCTCGAACAAGTACTTCCATGCCTGTGCAAGCATTTCCCCATCCTTGTAGTTGGTGCAGTTGCCCCCCCTGATAGCTTTATGAACTTGTTTTTTGAACTTGAAGCTTTATGAAAAAGTACTTGTTCGAGGAATTCGAACAGTGTCGGTCGGAGGGGTGAAACCCGACGCGCACAGTTATTTATTTACATCGTTGGCAACATCATCACGACGGTCAGGTCGAAACACAGCCAGTCACCACCTGAAGCAGACCTCGGTGGAGGTCGAAAGTACTTATGGAATTTAATAGTGACATAACACTCGTAAAAATAAAGGTTTTTCGTGGATTGTTAAAATTTTAATGGATAAAAATTTAAACAATTTGAATTTAATTAATAAATATATCAGTGTGCAGCTATATCATTTGAAATATTTGAAAATTGCCAAGGATTTAGTAAATGTTGTGTATTAAGAAACAGAAATTAACTGGCTACATCAGTTTCTAAAAGTATATCCGGGAGGTTCACGTAAGCATTTATAACCAACTAATGATAAATTCAAATAGAACGTGTTATACTTTTTAGGATGATTAAATAATTGGAAATATTTAATACTTTGACACTTTGATATTTAATATTGATATTTTAGATATGCCAACAATAGTTTATTATATTTTTATTCTCATATTATAATTTGTTTATATTATTTTGATTATAATTTGTTTATATGTTTTTAAATGTTGATACCAAATTACTAATAAAAAACTTTAATGTGAAAGTTAGTGTGTTTAGCAGGAAAAAACATATGACACATTTTACATTCTACTTCTTATATGCATTTTAAACAGTTACATTTTATCATATTTTACTAAATTTTTGTTACATAAATATGTTATGCGTTAGTTTTATTTCCTATATATTTTTTAAACATAATTATTTGAACTAATATACTATAATTTAAATACTAGTAACTATATTTTTCTAGATCTAGATAAATGATGGCTGAATGGACAAAGCAATTGATTCTGGGGGATCTGGAATCAAATTCAGGAGGGCAAATTCAATAATTTTTCGTGGGTAGTTGGTCCATCCCTCGGCATCCAGCTGACTNGTCAGCTGCGGTGGCATAGCGTGGGTGTCAGCCGCCCGGGGCGGAGGAAAATTTCGCTGCCCCCTTATTTAGGTATCTCAATTTAAAAGACTAAAATTCAGTTTCGTCACAGAATAAGTAATGAACAATTAAGTGCTCATTTCAATCGGTCCGAATCGTAGGTGCGACAAAAATATGAAATGAAATGGTTCAAATTTTTACAAGAAATTATTATTTATTGTGAAATTTTGCCGCACCCTAAAAGTGTCGCCCCTGCTGCCCCCGCTACGCTAGGCCACTGGTCAGCTGATGAAACAGGTGTTAAATTCGTGGCTACCAATGGCTGGTTTGAAAAATTCAAAAAACGCCATTCAAACACCAAGTTTTTCTCGTTTTAGAACCAAATCCCAGTTTTTGTATTGAGTTGGTGTCTCCTATAACGCGATTTCCCACAACGCGGTATTTTCAAGAAACGTATCTACCGCGTTGTAGAAGGCCTACCTGTATATTATTTTTGACTTAATTGAATTTAATTTTTATTATGTTAAAAAAGTATTTTTAAACTGTTTCACTAGTTATTAATAAATAGGGCTTAGTAAGTTGACTGTTTATAATACTGTAATTGCAATAAATGGTTATTAAAATATTCATAGTTTTATTTCCAAAATCAACATTTACTAGCCGTCTTTAGTAAAACCTAGCATGCACCAAATTTTAATGATAAAAGCCTGGTAAATCATCTCACTTTATAAAAATCCTTACATTTACAAACTTATGTTGGTTAATCCGAAGATTTACAAGTAAAACCTAGGATTTACCAATATACGGGCTTTTACAGTAACATATATATGTGTCTTTGATGATTTTACCGAAACCACAGACACGTACGACAGATGAAATGTCCACCAAAGACCTTGTGATGAAGATAAACGTCTTCGAAAGATGTTCTTAGAGTGACCATCTGTCTCCGATTTCCGGGGATTTCACTGTTTTGACTCTCTGTCCCCGTTTTTTCATTTCCTTGTGATTACTGCAATATTGTTGTTGCCCGTTTTTCTGTCAGAGGACGTGTCCAATATCTTCACGTTGCCAGGTAATTTCTTAAAGACGTAACCAAGTAATTATCCAAATTTTTGAGGAAATACCAAAAACGAGCCAAATTTTAAAACGAGGACAAAAGTGACAAAAGCAAATAGCTACAGACCTTATTAGAGGAGAGCGATTTGATTGAAGCCAAGCTCAATCGAAATTAAAATATTTAGGTCTGTCATGAGTGAGTACCGTACAGTACCACACTTTTTTCAAACACTTTCCGTCCTGCGGGCACTAAGGGGACCTTTGTTTAGCAGCCCATTATGCGTTCAGCCATGCCCACAATGGAGTCGGGTGGTGAAGGATGTGGCCCGACATATCCAGACAGATCATCACCTGAAAAATTCCTGGGGTTTTTGACCCCTCCAGATTCAATCCCAAGTCCTTCAGAGCCACAGGTACTATATATTATGTAGTATAATGGGTACTTTTTTTAACTCTTTCCACCCTGTGGGCACTAAGAGGGCCTCTTTTTGCAAACCCATTATGGGTTCGGCCAGGCCCACAATGGGGCTGCCGGGTGGTGAGGGGCGGGGCCCGACATATCCGAACGGACCACCCCCGAAAAATTCCTGGGGATTTTTCGACCCATTCGGATTCGAGCCCAGGTCCCCCAGAGCGGTAGGCTGCCACCTTGGCCGCTCAGCCATCCGGCCGCCAAGTATAATGGGTATTATTTGACGGTACTTATATGCGTAGGCTGCTACTGTGTACCCTAAAAAGTGACGATTGATATGTCACCCCGGATTTCTTGGGTAGAAAAATGTGGTCACCCTATCCTAGTGATTTTAGACAAAGGAAAAGTTCTTTGAAGAGCTCGTTGTTCAGAAGTATAACTTAAAATCAGCATGTAAACCTCCACATGGTATAACCAACACTCTTTCACTGACTTTAAAATACAAATAGCCCGCAAATTATCTTAATGTTTGTTTGTTATGACAACACAACACTTGGGCAATCTGCCTAAGGGGGATACCTTCCGGGAGGTCTTTTAAGGGAAACTGGCCCCTATTTAGGCGTTACAGACGTGGAGAAAACCCAGAAAATTCCACATGGCCAGCCCGTCCGAGCGAAACGCAAACCGACGACCGAACTCTGTGTTCAGGGTACGAAGACTGCTTGGCCAATGGTGGGCCGTTATCTTAATGAAATTATACTATATTTATTTTTGATTTTCTCTCTTTACATTATGCAGACATCAAGACAGCTTTATATATATATATATATAATAGACATCACCAGTGGTACTTTGTCCATAAGGGCTTCAGAGCTGCAGCCCCTGGTATAAAATAAAAGTTCCTGTTTTATTATTGTCATTCTTAAATTTAAATTTTTATTAATTTATTTACCATAAGTAAATTATATAATTGTAATACATAAGATAATAATTATATATACTGTATATATATTTGCAGCCCCACTACTACAAATTCTTGGAAGCCACCACTGCTACCATATTCCATCAAACCTTCAGCTAAGCCAACAATGGTTTGATGGAATATGGCAATGCAATATTTGGGCTATTTGCCAAGAGGTGGTGACTTTCTGAGAGGATTTTCTATAGAAAAACAGGTATCGATTTAGAAGTTATTTGCATGGAGAAAACCCAGAAAACTCCACATGGACAGAGGTTTTTTGAGTGGCCAGGTACTACTCAGAGCAGTAGGTCAAAGGACCCCTTTAGTTGTTTTGTTTTACACAAAATATAACCATGTAAAATGGAATAATTTTAAAATTAAGTCTGACGTTTTAATAAATTAGAATCTAAAACAATTTGAAACTTTTATATTCATTATTCATTGAATACAATTTTACCATAATCAGAAAGATGTTTACAGGACTACTCATCCTAAATATTAAGATACAGAAATTCAAGTTTCTCTATTATCAAACCCTAGTGGCAAAAGTTTCATGTAAGAAATTTAAAACATTGGCAAAAATTTTTGATGAAATATAGAATGTACTGAAAATGTATTAAAATTGAGTCTGAATGCAATTTCTCTATAGTGTCACACTACTTTTATTCTTCTCGTATGACATTAAATATTAATCTATTTCCTCAAATCTAAGGTGGAATAGATTGATGGATAGATGGTGCAATACAATGCAATGGGCAATCTGCCAAGGGGGAGTGCCTCCCAATACGGAAAACTGGTCCTTATCCAGACATTAAGACAGATGAACTAAAAAACTCCACACATTTGAGCAACTGGTGGCTCAAATCTAAGGTGCATTTTACCTATTTTTGTTTGTCCAAAATAGAGGTAAATCTTAGAATTGATGGAGTCTTACATTCATAAACCAAAACAACAATCAGAATCTGTCATAAGTGAATTATGTATTGTATGTGTTACAGAACAATATGTTTTCAACTATACTGTTCCATGGTCATATTAGTTGAAATTAACTTTGCTGGTAAAGTGTGTTTAATTTAAACTCCTTTTTAATATTTAAAATTCCTCAAAGATGACATTATGCTTCAGCATTCAAATGTGTTATTACATATGCATAAATAAAGAAGGCTTGCCAGATGTCCTGTCCAGTTTGTAGTTTTGTTCCAGTTAGAAGAAAGATACCAATAATTTCTGTAAATTAATTGGAGATACAGAGGAGCAACTTTTGGAAGACCCTAAGCCAAGAAAGGTGGCTGTAATATGGCTTGACCTTAACACTCAGCACTATTGTCAGTTACCCCTTCCTACTCCAATGCACCCATCACCTTCTACCCATGCTGCCAAATAAGAATAAAGACAAATTACTATGTGCCTTGATTTAGTTAGTGGCTAACTATTCTTTATGCATGCATATTGTTTTCATAATTACTGATTTTGTGTTGCATGAAATTTAAGTGTGTCAAATTGGAATGGGGAGATGAAAAGTGCTTCCATCATCAGTTTGGCATTGTGAAAATCTCGTAAGCCAACATATAGAGCTGTTTAATAGAATTTGTATTGTTTTTCTATTTTGTTGTTACTTAACAAAACAATAACATTATTTATTTAGAAAACTTCTTTCTCCATAAAAAATGTAAAATTTGATTTTAAACTCGTGTCTTAGAATTGATAAAAAATATGATATGTTAAAATGATATCTGACGAATTGAGTGACAATTCATGATGTGCTAATTAGATGGTCAGATGACTGGTGGTTAAGTCATCAGCCTACTGCTCTGGGAGACTCATTGGAATCAATAACTTTGGGAAATTTTCATGATCTGCTCAGTTAAGTCAGATCCAATTCATCACCACCTAACTACAATCCATTATGGAATTTAATTATGTTTTCCAATGAGGGGTATAGTTAAAAAGAAACAGAGAAGAATGAAAAAAACACATATATACCAATATGTATTATAATTAATAATTTGATATAAGTTTCATTGCTTATTTAATATTTTTAGCTCTTTATCAAATAATTATATCCAACTAGGGAGTTAACAATCAAAAATAATTCATGAAATTGTTAACTTATTTTGGAAATAGTTAAGTACACACATTCATTGAATTATTTTTCACTATTTGTAGGATCAAATGTAACAAGTGCAGTTTGTTATGCAAATGAAAGCAAAAAATAAATAAAAAAAATATTGATGATATATTTTGGCAACATGCTTTGATAAAGTATTAATAAGCTAATAACCACTAATTTATATATATATATATAATAAATTAGTGGTTATATAAAGTGACTAAAAATCAGTTAACAGAGAGATTTTTAAGACTAACAATATGCTGTTTTAAAATCGTTTTTAACTATTATACTATTAAGATAATCTTATAAATCTCAGTTAACTGACTTTTGGACCATATATGAGTCATTTGCATATATGTGAGCTTGTTTCTCCTAAAAAAAAATGCACATTTAGTTAAATTCATTTTGTTTACAATAATTCAGAATATATATAATTTCAAAATTATAAACTTTTAAAACCTAAGATTAATATAAAATTGTAATTTATTTATGAAAATAATTTCAAGTTACATGAAGTAATGAATCTTTTGACACTTCCAAAATTATGCAGTCTAAATAAGATTTTAAATCATCTTTAGACATGGATTTCATTCTTACAATTGCTTCTGGTGTGACAGTTATAACTCTATAATCCAATTTGTTTAATTGACGTATTTTGGTCTTCATCAAGCCGATTACATCATTTCTAGACCTCAGAGTGACTGATTCGTCTAATAATTCAAAACATATACGTATCCGAGTTTCACTTCTATCATTTTCCTTATTATTTTTTGCTATCAGATTTTCTTTAATGGGTATTTTACATTCAAGCAATCTAATGTAATTATCAACAATTTTGACTTCTAGACAGATGCTCGATAGAAGTATGTGCGGCAAGATAAACAAACTTTGAAATGGTTTCGTCCCATTACAATAACTTTGAAGAATTTGCAATAAATCTTCATAACCATACCGTTCATTAATATCTTTATATATAGTTTTTAATGGCAGGTTGAAGACTTTATCATAATTTTCTGGAAGCCGAATATATTCTAGTTGAGGTTTTTCTATTTTGATTGAATAATCTATAAAGCGTAATTGATACATTGGCTTATCCCTATCATTGGTTACTAAATTACTTAGCACTTTACTAATAATATTATTGTCATAATAATTAAGTATAATCAAAGAATGAACACAATCAATCAACTGATGGTAATTTTTATAAGTAATTTTGTTAAACTTATTAATCGTTTTGATTATAATGAAGAAAAAATTATCAGACTGGCACGTATGACCAACATGTGATACAGCCCACAAAAATTTACTTATATCTTTCAATCTTATATCGGTTGAATCCTCTTTTAAATACTTCATAACATGGGCTTCTAAATACTTAAAAGTTTCATTGTCATACCATCTGACATTTGCAAATGCTGCAAGAATATGTACACATTCTGCAAGAGTAAAATTCCAACACTCTTTTTTAACATAATCTTTAAGCAAATTGAAGAAATCTTCATCATAGTAACAACTCTGACGGATTACCTTTAGCATTGAAATTAAATCAAACCGATCCATAATCCAAATATTGTTTTTTATAAAACTGACAATTTTATGCAGCAACTGTTCTGATTTTATCTTTATTTTCATCTTGAAAAATGCAGTGCATATAATTCCCCATTCTTCAAAACTAATACTTGCAGAATTCTTAATCAGAGCACTTTCAAGTCGTTTAATTAATAATGTGGGAGGAAGAGTCTTTGATCTTCCTAAATAATAAATCATTTGTACTAAATTTTCTTTCGTACAAAAATGTATTTGCATACACCACAAATTTTTCAAGACATTAAAAAACTTGCCACCGAGGGTAAACTGTTCATCAATTAATATCCAGATGTCAAGAAAATATAGAGAGGTAGCAACTTTCCATTTTACCACACGTGAAACACACTCTTCATCAAAATATGGTAAAATTTTATTTTTATTCTCTCTTTTATATATAAGTTCAATCAGAGTTTTCTTTAATTCATCATCACTTAATTTTATTATATTTTCTAAACTAATTGTATTTAATAATTCGGTATCAGATCGTACTGGATTTATATTACGAACTGTTGTATCTTTATACAAATCATTTTGATGAAGAAAATCAAAGTATTTGCTATCAAATATACGAAATTTTACATTTCTATCAGTATTAAAGACAGCACACCTCATAATATTTACGTTAAATCTGTTTAAGTTAGATGTATTTATATTTTTATAAGAATAACACAAAATATTTATAGGTGTTAAATGCTTTATCTTATTGAATCTAGGAAATAACTTTAGAAGGATACATTTTCTGACAATTTCCATTATATACTTCCTTTAATAGCAAAGTTTTGATTTATAAATTATATCTTATGATGATCATATCTTCGGAATATCAAAATTACACATATTCTTATACTTTGCAAGTAATTCTCGTTTCATAATAAGTTGTTTGTGTAAAGCATCCAGACGACGTAACTGTTCTTCTTTTGTATAATCGATACCCGGTAATTTTTGTATATGTTCTCGACACTGCTGCAGTTTATTTTTCAATTCTTGTATTTTTTGCCCACTGTCAAAATTCTCTCTAGGTTTCTGAATGGATTCATGTGTATCACGTTCAATGCTAGAATGAAAATAATTTTAAATAATTAATGTAAAAATTTTCTAAGCAACTCAAACTAAATTATACATAAACTTTAAAATTCCAACTAATGAAGAATTCTGAAGAGAAAATCATAACAGAGTAATTTTCTTTAGAAACACTAAAATACAAATTTTTTTGAGTTAAAAATGTTTTAAATTAGTTAAATATTATAAAATCTAAGATAATTAACTTCACACATTCATTAATTTTCTGCAAAATAGTTTTGAATTTTACAGAAATTACCCAAGATTGGTATTTGATGAACATATTCCTATATTTTCAATAAAAAACAATTCTAAATTTACAAAGTTTAATAATTTGCTTAAAATCACTTTTTGACATAATAAATTATTTCAATTATGAATTTAAAATGTTAAAAATAATTTCAGCAATTGATCAAATGCCAAATTAACGAACAGGAGAAGTTTAAAGAATGCCAATGGCTGTGTTCAGCAGACTCAACAGTTCTGGAGTGATTGAGTATTTTTCTGCTGAATGCCCTCTATAGTAGCACTCTTTTGGAACATGTTTAGTGTTTTGACGTCAAATTTGGTAGCATCTTTCATTTACGCTATCTGAAACTAACCAATGAGGCTTTTTGTTCCAATGCAATGTCACTTATTGTTCAGCAGATCAAGGTTGCTACGTAACAGCTACCAATTTGCTCAGTTACAACTGTTGAGGCTGCTGAACGAGGCAACGTTTAAAGCCTGAAGACAGCCTGTTACCCAAATCAAATAGATAACATTGTTCAAAATGTCACACACTGTTAAAGGTGAATTGATCAATTCAGCAGAGTAACCATGGTGATCAGTTCATTCTTATTGAGTAGATGATTGATAAATATACTTTAACAGTTTACTATTTAATTACTTTGAAAACATTGTGAACTTATATCTCTTTTGATAATATGAAAGCATGGAAATATGCATGAAACATAATAGCTAGGAAACACTTTTTTAAAGACAGAATAGCATGTAAAATAAGGGAAAAACAACTGTTGGGAAGCACTTTTTTGTTTTTTTTCTTGCTTGACAGTAACTTTTTCTAGTTTCTCTTACTGATCAAATTTATCTTCACTCAGTTTCTGCTTTAAAAATTAAATAAAAGTGATAGTTATCAATAAATAAAGATCAATTTATCAATCAATGGACAAAGGATCAACATGAAAATCAATTCTAAAAGCTATATTTTATCTCTCACTCAACACTAAAAGCATATTTATTAATTTCATTTTGCTGTTTAAATAGATTACATTTAATAATAATAATATACCTTCTTATAATATCATAGATCAGAGGTAAAAAATCAACATTAAATTCCTCTTGACTCATCTTCTCCTTCCTTTGAACACATGCAAGCTTCTTAAGTGTTGCCAGCTCAGTTTAACATTTAAAAATATAATTTTTTAAAAATAAATAAATATATATTTTATGTTCTAAACGTGAAATTTTATTTATTTCATAATAATAATAATAATTAACTATTTATTATTTTTTTTTCTTATAAGTGAATTTAATCTTTAAATAAATAAATAGTCATGTGATAAACACGTGTTGCACACAAACATGGAAGAGAAACCTTCTGATGCTCCTGAATGTACGCACGTTTACGTAAATCTTAGATAGTTCTATAAATTATAATTAATTAAAATGGTTTAAATGTAAACAGTAAAACGTATTCATTATTTTATAATTCTCAAAAGTTTGTTTTTTTAACGTTATTAATTATTAAATGAACGTAACGTAGTTGTTTCATCATGAATAAGTACGAATATTAAGTAAAAGTAATTAATGTTAAATTTACGGAAAATAAAATAGTAGAATTATAGAGGTTTGTTTATTTTTTTAATCTAAAATAATTAAGATAAATATTTTTAGCATGCCCAGGAGTGTCAAGTGAAGAAGCCGGAAAAGCGTCTGGATGTCAAGGATGCCCAAATCAGAAAATCTGCGCTTCGGGGAAGTTACAAGGACCAGATCCTGGTACGAAGAATGTGGTGCAATTACACCTCTGAATGAGACAGTTGGGACCCATACCCATACAAGCAAAAATGTCAAAGAAACCATTTCTCTACGCCTGATCCTTGGCAAAATATGACTCCTCAAAATCGACCAGGTTACAAGCAATCGGGAGTCATATCGCTTCACTAAGACACTCCCGTTTAAATATTTAGCCCACTTGACTGTTCATGGAGTACTTGATGTTATATGTTATATAGTTTTATGGGGTGTGGGGCTTGCCCCCATGTGGACACGAGTTGCTCGCTATTGCTATCGCTCACATCAAAGCACATGAATATGTGTGGTGTGTTGGTCAAGGCTTGCTATTGCTTCCTTGACTGATATGGAGCATGGAGAATAGGCAGTAGTACTGGCACTTGGTAAATACCGATCTTTTCGGGCAAATATCTCATTAAGGGTTACATGTACAGGTATGATTCCTTTGACATTTTTTTCTCTTATGGGAGGTAACCAATTTTGGGGTGGCAAACCCTTCATTCAGAGTTCATGTCTTACCAAGAACATTAAGAAAAAGTTATTTATTTTAATATAAAATACTTTATACTTATGACACGCATAAATAGACTTTTAATTAAAATTTTAATAAGATAAACGACTTCCAACCACTAAACACTGCGTTGAATAATAACAATCCACGAAAAACCTTTATTTTTACGAGTGTTATGTCACTATTAAATTCCACAAGTACTTTCGACCTCCACCGAGGTCTGCTTCAGGTGGTGACTGGCTGTGTTTCGACCCAACCGTCATGACGATGTTGCCAACGATGTAAATAAATAACTGTGCACGTCGGGTTTCACCCCTCCGACCGACACTGTTCGAATTCCTCGAACAAGTACTTCCATGCCTGTGCAAGCATTTCCCCATCCTTGTAGTTGGTGCAGTTGCCCCCCCTGATAGCTTTATGAACTTGTTTTTTGAACTTGAAGCTTTATGAAAAAGTACTTGTTCGAGGAATTCGAACAGTGTCGGTCGGAGGGGTGAAACCCGACGCGCACAGTTATTTATTTACATCGTTGGCAACATCATCACGACGGTCAGGTCGAAACACAGCCAGTCACCACCTGAAGCAGACCTCGGTGGAGGTCGAAAGTACTTGTGGAATTTAATAGTGACATAACACTCGTAAAAATAAAGGTTTTTCGTGGATTGTTAAAATTTTAATGGATAAAAATTTAAACAATTTGAATTTAATTAATAAATATATCAGTGTGCAGCTATATCATTTGAAATATTTGAAAATTGCCAAGGATTTAGTAAATGTTGTGTATTAAGAAACAGAAATTAACTGGCTACATCAGTTTCTAAAAGTATATCCGGGAGGTTCACGTAAGCATTTATAACCAACTAATGATAAATTCAAATAGAACGTGTTATACTTTTTAGGATGATTAAATAATTGGAAATATTTAATACTTTGACACTTTGATATTTAATATTGATATTTTAGATATGCCAACAATAGTTTATTATATTTTTATTCTCATATTATAATTTGTTTATATTATTTTGATTATAATTTGTTTATATGTTTTTAAATGTTGATACCAAATTACTAATAAAAAACTTTAATGTGAAAGTTAGTGTGTTTAGCAGGAAAAAACATATGACACATTTTACATTCTACTTCTTATATGCATTTTAAACAGTTACATTTTATCATATTTTACTAAATTTTTGTTACATAAATATGTTATGCGTTAGTTTTATTTCCTATATATTTTTTAAACATAATTATTTGAACTAATATACTATAATTTAAATACTAGTAACTATATTTTTCTAGATCTAGATAAATGATGGCTGAATGGACAAAGCAATTGATTCTGGGGGATCTGGAATCAAATTCAGGAGGGCAAATTCAATAATTTTTCGTGGGTAGTTGGTCCATCCCTCGGCATCCAGCTGACTCCTTTGTGGTCTGGTCAAACCCACAATGGATGTAGAAAAAAGGCCCTAAGAAGATCTTTTCCATACCCACTATGGGTTTGGAAAAGGTCCGTAAAGGGAGTTATAATTAAAAAATTATTAAAAATTAATATTATAAAAATAATTTGATAAAATGTTGTATGTATGGCAGTTTTAATCATATTGATAATTTGGTATATAGTTTAAATAGATTTATTGAATTATATCTTTACATACAGATATGTAGAAATAGACCAAGAAAAATTTCAAGTATTATTTACAGTATACTTTATAACAAAATTGTTCTTCTTTCAGATATTGAACTCATTACAAAGCATCTTAGTGCTGTCAAACACATTATATTAGTTATGTCTGGAAAAGGTGGTGTTGGAAAAAGTACTACTGCAGCAATACTTGCATCTTTATTAGCTGAAGACGAAACAAAAAATGTAAATATATAAATACTGTATATTAATTCAAAAATTAACATTTGAAAATAATTGAGGCAGAGTGTTAGTAAAGCCTCTTTTATGTGGCTTATAAAATTGTATTTGTTCTCAAAATCTGTTTGATTTTGATTAAACTTTGCCATTTTTTCTTAATTGCAATGAGGAGTCAAAAAATGTAATGAAGGTCCATTTAAATGTAAAAAATAACAGTCTGAATTTATTTTGATATACAGAGGTATTAAAGCAACAATGTCTGTGCTCTCTGATGTTACCAAGTATGCCTAACAATTTTATGCCTAGGAGTCAAAAATAAAAACAGTATTGCATGCCCCTAACAGAAAATAGGTGTAAAAAATGAACAAAAGAGAAGAAGGCAATTGCCATTAATTGTTTTGTTCTTGGATTGCCTCACCATGTCGGCAGTAGCAAGGATTGTCTCTCCTGTGGCCAGCAGATACAAGGAAAGCCTCTTTTGTGGCGGGAAGTGCAAAGTTCACATGTCCATGTTCGTCAGGTACAAAGGTTGCTTGCCTCTTCTATGCCTAATAGGTGCATGGATCGCTTCTTTCTTTTTGGCTTCACCATAGTTCTATCACAATATGACAAAATTGGGCAATGTCTTAGTAGTAACAGGAATGCTGTATTAAAACATTCAATAATAATTGAATGTAATAATTTAATTATTTATGACTTGTATTGATTCCATCTATTTAATTTCTTTAATGTTTAAATTCCCAAGTGTTTCAATCAGGTCTTTCCACATTGTTGGAATTGACTATGAAGTAAAATCCAGACATGCTGCACTCTGCAAGTGCAAGCATTGTTAGTTGGCTAAATTTTGTTATATCCTGTAGTGGGGGCCATTGTCTAGTACTGTATTTTTTGATTTTAACTGACTTTATAAAGTTTGAATTTTGCTATGAATGCTTTTATGTTTTGATAACAGTCTGTGATCAATTTTTCACTTTGAAGCTACTTGTTAAGTTCATTTAATTTCATTGTGATATCGGTAAGGAAACATAAATCCAAAAGCCATTGTCCATCATATAATTCAGGAACATTCTGGTCATTTTCATTCATAGAAATTCAAATTTCTTTCCTCAAATTCCAAAATCTTTCTAAGCATTTCCCATGACTTAATCATCAAATTTTCACATAAAGAAAAGCAAATTGCTTTACTTGGATTCCAGTTCTTGAAGATAATCTTGAAACTGATGATACTTCAAAGAATTATTTTTTATTGCATTAACTCTTTTAACAACTGACATCACATGGTTCATATTAAATACTTGCACACATTAATTTTCAGATACAAAAAAAAAAAACAATGACAAATGAAAGCTCCAAAGATTTTGAACTTTTTTACATGGCTTCTCTATGCTCAAGAATTAATTTAACAGCAATAGTTTTGCCAATTATTGAAGCTGCACCATCTGTGGTGATCCCAATTAGGTTTGTTAATTTCAGTCCATGGTCATGCAAGCATTTTATGACAGCTTTTTATATATTTTTTCCAGTATTTGTGCCTTTCAAACTCAACATCGAGAAATTCATTGGTCACATTCATTTTACTAGCCACACCTTTAATAAAAGTGGCAAGTTGATCTGTATCCTTAATATCTTGTTTCATCTAAAGCCAATGAGAAATACACAAACTTCTTAGAAACTGTGTTCAGTGTTGAACAAATTTCATTTGAAATGTTATTAATTTGCACTACAGTTTGATGTGACAGGCAGATTTGACTGAAACTTTTAACTTCTTCTGGAACAATCTTTTCAGCTGCAGTGATCACCATCTGAAAACAGTTTCATTTTTTCCCAATAATATGTGATATTCACATGCTGGCATTAACAATGGCATTTGATTCAACTGTTTGTTTATGAAATATGTTTTGTTCTGCAGTCAGACCTGCCTTAAGTATTTGTAATTTCCTTTATTGTTTGTTGCTAGTATCAGTCAGAATCTCAAAAATTTTTGTAGGGGGTTTGATCTGGATATGCCGTGCTCTCACCATCTGGTTGCCCAACTAGATGGTGAGAGATGGTCAAACTTCTGTCATAGATTACAAATGGTCTTTTAAAACCCACAGGACAAAAGCAATTATTAAAAAAGGAAAAAACAAAATTAAAATCAATTTAAAACTAATCAACACTAACCAACACTGGAGTGAAGTTATTTACATATCTCAAAAGCTGTTACCAGTGTGAAACCCAAATAAAAACGAAAAAAAACAATTTTCCACAAATGTTTTCAAACCATAAACAGTTCTTCTTCAGGTGAAGGTGAATTTCCGATAGAATGCAATTAAATAAGAACACGATTTGAAATTCGAATACATGTTTCTTGATGGCATCCCACTGGGCATGCGCACTCTAGCTGGTAGCAATTGACGAGATCTATAGGTTTTTGTCCATTAGTGCTTGCCATGCTATGGACAGAGTTAATTCTTCTTTGTGATTGATACAAGTGTTGTTGAGGCTAAATCTGTAGATATAAATGGCCTCCAACCACCTTAGATGTTCTGTGTGTGGTGAGGTGAGGATGACTCTCGCCTGGTTAAAATCCGGCTCTATGTCTGGCTCATTGGTGTAAACAGCAAGAGCAGTGGTGGTCCCTGCGAGCTATAAGTCAGTGATGTGCTTTTTCATTCTAACCCCCCAAGGAGCGCTTCATAGAGCTGATGTAGATGAGTTATCTATCGCATCTGTGATCCTTAATTGGGATGCTGTACACTCCAGGGAGTCTGTCCTGGTTGGGAACGTCCTTTCTCTTACAAAGGATGTCAAATATGGTTGGACGTCTTCTGTATGCGATGTGAATGTGGCGCTTCTTAGCTATCTTGGTATATAGTGATTTGAGATATGGGTTGTAAGTGACTGGGATCCTTTCTTCATCATCAGATTGGTCTTCATCATGGGAGTGGACTTGGAGTGCATCTTGGGAGTGGTGAAATCTGTAGATTAATTTACGAGTGAACTTGGGATACCATGGTCAGTGGCTAAGCGATGAGTATGTTTCAGTTTGGCATGGAGAGCTTGTTGAGTGGACGAGTGAGTGTGCGCTCTCCTAATTAAGATGTTATAGGCTGCAATTTTATACTGATTTGTGTCACAAGACCCACAGGTATGTGTATGGATTCCGATCCCAGTTTACAGTACACCTCGGTATGGATTGCCGACCGTTCAATTCTAATGTTAATGTCAAGGAAATGGACCTCCATAGAGTGTGCTTGATCAATTTCCAGGATCAAGCCATACATCAGCTCTACGAAGCGCCCCTGGGGGGTTAGAATGAAAAAGCACATTGCTGACATCAGCATGCGTGGACCACCACTGCTCTTGCTGTTTACACCAATGATCCAGACATAGAGCCGGATTTTAACCAGGTGAGAGTCATCCTCACCTCGCCACACACAGAACATCTAAGGTGGTTGGAGGCCATTTATATCTACAGATCTAGCCTCAACAACACTTGTATCAATCACAAAGAGGAATTAACTCTGTAAAAAAGGGCTGGCAAAAATCACAATTTAAAAAAGAAATGTTATATTTTTAATTGTGTTGGGATTATCATCTGTGGACATTTTAGACTGTTTTACATATTTGTACAGAGTAGTAGCCTACAAAGAAAGGTCATCTGTGCTGTGAAAAATAGTTGTTCCTGGTGATTGGACATGGTGAACAATGAAGATATGTTTAGTATCTGTAATGTAATTTTTACTTTATTAAATAGGAATTAACTCTGTCCATAGCATGGCAAGCACTAATGGACAAATACCTATAAATCTCATCAATTGCTACCAGCTAGTGTGCATGCCCAGTGGAATGTCATCAAGAAACACATATTTGAATTTCAAATCGTGTTCTTATTTAATTGCATTCTATCGGAAATTTGCCTTCACTTGAAGAACTGTTTATGTTTAGAAAACGTTTGTGGAAAACTATTTTCTCATTTTTTCGTTGTTATTTGAGTTTCATCACACCAGTAACAGACTTTGAGGTATGTAAACAATTTAAAATTATAAAATGAAATCATAATGATATCAATATAGCACAGATCATGAGAATTAAATTAATTTTTATGATGATGATGTTTTGTTTACATAATAATTATTAATGTTGATATTTATTTACAGGTTGGGATTCTTGATATTGATATCTGTGGTCCATCTATGCCAACTATTGTAGGTGTGGAAGGTGAACAGGTATTTGAAGAAATTGCTATCTTTCTAAATATAGTTTTAACTGTTGTGTGCTCTAAATGAAATAGAGATACTAAATACTTTATATAGTGATTCAAAATCATTTCTGCATCATTTGAACTTCTAAAATGTGCTCTTATGTCCCTATGAAAAATAAGTTCTTTCTATTTAAGGTAACAGGATCATTCTATCTTTTCATGTATTTTATTCAAACTTTATGTCAAAGTTTCAGGACATACTGGAATATCACATTAAAACCATTATAACTTAAATGAATTGTTAAATTTGTATTCTTATTCTTCTTATTATTGCTGTTTCGTATTTGTATTCTTTATTACAGAAAAAGTATAAATCTATAATCTGATTACAATTGAACTACCATTGTCTATAGTATTTCATAGAACAATATTGGAATTGATGTGCTGGATCTTGAATGTGCATTACTCTACCGATGTTTGAATTTTCAGAAAAACTTTACCTTATTATGTTTTGAAAAATTTTAATTACATAGCTACAGCATGTCATTCAAGATCCAGCACATTGGCTTCACTCTTATTCTGGAAAATACTATTGAAGTATAGAAAAACTTACAATTCAAACATTGCATCATATATCTTGTGACATTTTTATCTCTTTTATAATTTCATGTTGTTTGTGAAAATGTTGGAAATTTCAAATAAATTATAACAATTTAAACATATAAAACATATATTCAAAAATTATAAGATATCTTACTTATATGGGAGAGAATACTAAAAGCACAATAAATATATTATTATTATTATTACGTTGGGTTTTGTGAGTTATACTCAGTTGACATCAGTTGCTGTACTATGCTGGACCTAGAGTCAAGGCATAGTAACCGAAACAAAACAGAAATTTAAAAAGTATGTCAGTGTGTGTCTGTATTCAGGAATTTCCTAACAATATGACATGTATTCAATATAGTGGCCTTCTGTAGTATAATATATGTGTTTCTATTCAATTGTAATGTTCCCAGGCTTTTGTGTAGTGTGTATGGTATGACACCTGTAGAGGAGAGAACGACAGGTACAATAAGCACCCTATCCATTCTCCACAGATGCCTTATTTCCTGGGCATGTTCTGTGTACTTGCTAATTTTTTCAGTGAATGTGTTTTGTATATTGTGAGTGTTTGGAATGGTTATGTCTATAATGTAAGTGATTTTAATATGTTTGTCAATGAGTGTGATGTCTGGTCTGTTGTGGTAAATTGTTTTATCTGTAATTATGGTCATAGTACATTTTGTGCATGTTGTTCTGTCATAGTACATTTTGTGCGTGTTGTTTTCCAATACTGTCTGTGGAATGTATTTGTAGTATGGTTCGTGGATGTATAATAATTTGTGTTTCTTTGCAAGCTCTTGGTGTATTATATTTGCTCCTTGATTATGCCTGTGTAAATATGTCTGTGCCAAGAGCTTGCACCCAGAAGTAATGTGTTGTATAGTTTCTGGCATGATGTGACATTTTTTGCATGTGTCATTTGTGATTGTTGTATCTTTGAGTATGTGTTTTCTGTAGTTTTTAGTATTTATGACCTGATCCTGTATGGCAATCATGAATCCTTCTGTTTCCCCAAAGAGGCATCCCGGATCTAACCAGCTGTTATTATTATTATTATTATTAATGACATCTGAATAGTTCATCTTTAATTACTAATGTTTCATTTAATATAAATTATAACTAAATATTAAATACTTTAGAAAATATATTTATATTAACAATTTAAGAGTTAAGATTTTTCTTCTGAAATTTTCAGGTACATCAAAGTGGATCTGGTTGGTCACCTGTGGTATGATCAATATTCCATATTTAATATACATAAATCAATTTTTTATTCTTTGTTATAATTTTTAAAAATTTTGTATTTAGTTTGTTGAAGAAAATTTAAGTGTTATGTCTGTTGGCTTTTTGCTCGAGAGTCCAGATGAGGCTGTAATTTGGAGAGGTCCAAAAAAGAATGGTATAATAAATTTTGTTGATGTTATTTTTATTTTCTGTGTTTACATATTTTCTTCTGTTTAGGATTGTATCATGTGCAGTTACATTATTCAAAATATGATTTATGTTAAATTTTAAGCACATCATTTGCTGCCACCGTGACACATCTTACTGCGCTGTGACACTTGTGGAATGGCATATTCCCTCTTCAACTTCTATTAATCTGACCAGAACCCTCTTGTATATGAGAAAGTTGATGGAAATCAGTGTGAACAAATATTTCAAGTTTAGTCACAGGTTAGGTACATACTCTGGTTGCTGCAGAAGAGAATCCTTTTTGTGGCAAAGAATGGAGAGAAATCTGGTCCTGACTTTCTCTCACTTAGAGAGTCATGGGCATTGTCAACTACCCATTACCATCAATGTGGAAGTCGAATGATGCTGTCAGCAGACCCTGATGTTGATGGTCTGAATTGAGTGATTGATGGTGTATAGAACAGCTTGAACTATTTGTCTCAAGAGATTTCTTCATCTTTGGGAACAAATTAAAGTCACATGATTAGGGTATGATAAAGCACCTCCTAGCCCCACTGAAAGAAAAGATCATTCACATCTATAGCCATATGATATTGAGCATCATTATCATATGGCTACAGATGTTAACGATCAGCATTGTCATGCAAAATGATGTGTGAATTGTTCAGAAAGTGATATCACTTCTTCTGTAGACTGCTTGCAGACTATGATCCAAGAACTAGTGCAGATTGTGCTTTATGTACTGCTTGTGTTAGGATAACACCATTGCAGTCATATATAACAATGATTACCTTTACATTATTGGGGTTCTGTTGCACTTTTGTCTGTCAAGTAGAGCCACAAAGTTTACCGTGCATTACTCTGATGTTTCAGTTGGGGCTAGTATGAGTGAGCCCATGTTTCATTAAGAGTAATAATGCCTCTTAAAAAGGCTTTTCTTTCTCAGCAGAATTGTTTCAAAAGGACAGGAGTAGCATTATGACATTGTCATTTCTAGATGTCAATGAGACAATGCAATATCCAGCAAGATACAATTTTCTACATTTGCAATTGTGTTTTCAGAATGTGGAGGACAGTTGTGGGCCAGATTGACCTCCTGTGCAAGATTATGAACTGTTCATCACTGACTATTCTCCACTAATGTGGCCACTGCACATACACTTGGTCTTCCATAACTGGAGATTGGTCAGGCCAACATTGATCACAAACATTCTAATCCCTTTTGAAATGTTTTTGCCCACCTTTTAACCACACTATGTTGTCACAAGCCTGTACAGGTTCCTGATGACACTTTCTTGGGTTACAGTTTTCAGCTGATTTGCAGTTTCAATTTTCAGCTGATGACATTACTCCAATTTAACAACATAATTTGCTTTGCAACATTGTCTGCTCTTTTGCATCATTATTATTAGGCAAAGGTATTATACTGTAAAGGGCAAAACCATTTCTATTACAGGTAAGTCAGGTGTACTACTTAACTGGTATTTTGCTGTTCTCCTTCAGATGTCTGTTTAAGTACAAACCCACTATTAAAGTTCCAACCCTCTCCATATGTAAATATTTCAATTTTGTATGTTTGTGAAAGAATGACAAGAATAGTTATAAAATTGGTCTGTCTGATTACATTCTATAATTTATTTAGAAACACACAGATACAGAATACCTATAATTACTATTAATTATAGAAGCAATACAGAAACACAATATAATATATAGTATAATATTATAAAATTATTTTGATTATTAATATTAATATTTTTAAAAATCATTTAAATTTTAAAATTTCTTCTTTCAAAGGTTTAATTAAACAATTTTTACGTGACGTGGATTGGGGAGAATTAGATTATATGGTAGTTGATACACCACCGGGGACATCAGATGAACATTTATCTATTGTCCAATACCTTAAAAATTGTAATGTTGCTGGAGTTGTACTAGTAACTACACCACAAGTTTGTAATATTTTTAAATATTATAACTTTGGTTTCCGTGGGAAAATTTTGATAATAAATTTGATTTTTTCAGGAAGTTTCTCTTCTTGATGTTAGGAAACAGATCACATTTTGTCAGAAAGTTAAACTTCCAATTCTTGGAGTCATTGAAAATATGAGTGGATTTATTTGTCCAAAATGTAAAGTGAGTGAATTTTTATATATATGAACATATTTCAAAAAATTATTAATTAAAATTAATTTTGTTATAATTAGTTTAATTACTTAATTATTTTTTGATTTATTTATAAGGTTGAATCACAGATATTTCCACCGACGACAGGTGGTGCCGAGAAAATGGCCGAGGAAATGAAAGTTTTATTTTTAGGAAAAATAAAATTGGATCCAATAATAGGTAATATAATTATTTTAATTAAGTTTCAGTGATAGCAAAATATAATAATTGATGATTTAGTAGAAATATACTTTATATAATAAATGCAAAGATAAGATTTACAGCATCTTCTGAAAAGAATGCTATAATTTTAAATTATTGTAATTATGTTAAGTATTATCAAGAAGTATGTGGTGTATATTGATCAATGGTAGACAAAACCTGGACATATTCTATCTACATACAAATGTCTTTTTGTCTCCTACCTGTAGGAAGTGCCATAAATAAAAATGACAACATGATTTTTGAGTTTCACATACAATTTCAAAGTGATCCCGCATGTAAGAGAAACATTTGTATTGCACAATAATGATTGATTTCAATTTTTTAACTGTAGAACACAAAATGCCTTCTCTGTTGCAGATTTGCCATTTTTGTTTTCAGCACATCCTACAGATAGTCAATAACAAGATGTGTGAATGCAGACATGAGATGAAACTCTGACAGAATTATTGGTGTAAAATGCATACTTCTTGCGTAATAATTAATGATGTAATTACAACAATTTTAAATTATAGCAATTTTTTTTTTTTTTTTTAAGACCCCTGTGTACATATCATTCTTTTATAATAAAGTATATTAACAACACATACTTAACTGATATTATAAAAGAATGATATATCAATCTTATTTTTACCTATATTTACAACTGTAAATACAGTATTTTATAAATAATGACTTAATCAGATTTCTAGATTTGTCTTCAAACTATTTTCTTGGCTTAATACTTTTAAAATCTGAATTTTGCCATCAAAATACAGTGTATTACTTCCAAACTGAAGCATTAGTTCATAGTAAATTGTATTTTGAAGCTAATTTAATCTAAAATGCTCCATGATAATAAATAGGAACTAGTTTCTTCAGTTTTAAGATAGCATTACTTAATTATAATTATACAGTATTCCCCTCTATCTGCACAAGATAGGTTTTTAAGCCCTGTGGTTGCTTGAAACCTTTGCCAAATCCTAAATAATACACTTTTTTTTTTTACATACATATGTACATAGCTGTGATACAGCTTAATTTAAAAATTATACAGTCATATTAAACAAAATAAAGTACTTAAAGCACTGTATTTTTATGATACTGTAAGTGTGGATATTGTTTATAATGTGCTATATGACTGGGAGAATGATAATATGTAAGTGGAAAACTGGATAAACAGTGATAAAGGGATGATTAATAGTTCTGCCCAGACTTGGGCATGTATGAAGTTTACAAATTAAAATTTAAGAGTTTCTAATTTTAGGATATTTTAATTAATATTTTCAAACTGAATAAGGGCTATACTATACTATACTTTCAAATATCTGCTTTAGTCATACATTTAATTAATTTGAAAAATATTTATCTTTACATAAATACTTCTACTTGAAGTTTGTCAATTACCGTCTTTATATTCTACAGGATGAGAAAAATTAGGCATTAAATTACATTAAATATTTGAAACAAGTCAATATTTTACAGTTTTATGCTCATTTGGTGACCTGTCAGGATGATTAGAAATAAAAATATAAGCAACTGAATGTTGTTTTGTGTCATCCTTTGCATACATAAGAACAATCTTTCATTATTCTTTCATTAATTTAGTTGCCGTAATATATCATCTGAAAATGGTGATAACTAATAAAAAAGAATATTGATTTAACTATGCATTTAGACCTTGCTTCTGTTAATTTTGACTAATTTAGTTCTTTGATTCAATTCATATAATAATCTTACCATGGGACCAGATTTTTATATTATATTCTTGCTTTTATCACTCTACTGCAACTTTTATATTATATTATATGAGGCCTGCACATATTATATTCTTATATTCTTTACTCTTTGGTAATTCTGACATTTTATTTTGTTTTTCAAAAAATAAAATAGTTGCTACTAAACTCTTAATGTATTGATTTTCTATCAAATAGGTAAGAGCTGCGATAAAGGTAAATTATTAACTAGAGAATTTCCAGATTCTCTTGTAAGCCATGCTTATAGAGATATTTCAAAAAGTAAGTATTATTTAACAATATTATGTATTTATTTTTTGTAGAAATTTGTACATTGAACTATATTATCCTGCATTTTGTTTGTAAGATGAATTTCAAGAATGAAAATTCTTCATTCTTGCTTTATATATTTATTTAATTTGGTAAATAATGCATCTTTTAGAATAATATATGTTTTAAGTGTGCTGAGATATTTTTATGATGCTTTTAATAAAAATTAGAAGACCAACATGATAGAGGGTGTAGTTTAATTTACTTTTTTTAACGTCATGACCTATTATCATTTTAATTTAGTAAAATTGTAATAAATAAAAGTTATCAACTATCTTGAATGGCCATCTTCAAGTCCTATAATTAGATTATATTAGTGGACAATCCATAGTATCTATGGGCTAAGGGAAAGGCATTATATCAGGCCATATATTTCTTCATAAACTACATACACAGGTAGCTCATTGCTGAACCTTACACTGAATTGTTGCAAAAAGTTTGCAAAAATTCAGTGTTAAGGTTTACCAATGAGCCTTATGTGTATCTTATCAGCTCTCTATACAAAAATGATATCAGGCTCCAAATTTCTAGAATAGAAATAGATTTCAGATTATTACATCAGAAAACTTATTGCACATCTGCCAACCCACCTTTATATATAACTCCTTCAGATTCACTGAGAAATATAGGAAGAGTTAAGCTGAAAAATCTCCATAGTGTAAGTTATGTATGGTATAGTAGAAACTAGATTTAATGTATTTACTCATTGCTTCTTTCTAATTTTCATAAACTGCAATGTTGATGTGCATTTAGTATCTTTTGATTTAGCATATTTTCAGGAACTTTACACATCAAAAACTTGATCTTTAGATGAATTTTATCTCAAATAATGTTTTTCAAACAAAAAAATAAGAAACTGTATTTATTGTTTGCATGAGTTATTAAAGTTCAATGAGTTATCAAGATTGTTTTGTCATCTTGTGATAGTGAGAAGACATGATATTTTATACTTTTGGAGCCTTGGTGTGAGGCTCCAGAAGTGGGTCGAAATTCGTGCACGAAAAATATTTTAATTTCGTAAGAAAAAATTTTTATAATTATAATCATTATTTTATATTGTAAAAAGAAACCCTCAAACGCAGAACGAATATTTAATGTCCATATAAAGTCATATCTGTAGAAATTTCTGAGAAAAAACGAATTTCTCAGAAAGAAACAATAGATGAATTTGAGTACTTAGATCGAACGTCTTCGATAGGAATCAAATTGTCAGTCGGGGGGACTCACCCCGCGATCTGGGCTCCGATCCCGTTACAATTCGTAATGAGGAGGGGAGACCAATTAGAGAACGGGGGCAGATCGACATCGACCTATCGGAATGTTCGATCTAGGACTCAGAAAAACTTATAAAAATCGCGCAAAAATAGGATGTGACGTTCTTGGTTCTAAGTTCGGTGTGCTCCGCTTCTGGATTTTTCCTGCGGTTCAATAACGGGAACTTGGTTGTCGTCCCGAAAGAAGTTTTCGCCATCTTGTCCCAGCAAGTTTCGTCAAGGGTAATCTACTGCGAGAATCACCCCTTCAAGTTGTGCTGTGCGCCCGGAGCCTACGTTTTCCTCATCATCTTTGCCAAAAGAAGAGAAGATCGTAGAAAAGATTGAACTTTATTTACGAACTGATTCACTCTGTGGATAGGCTTTACGCCGAAGAAAACAGTAGTTGTAAGCGAAATTTTTATATTTAATAAATAGTTTGCAATGGAAGACCTGTCTCAGTAAGTTTTTCCACTCCCACACGACAGTGCTGACCGCTCGACTGTCATGACACTTTCTCCCCAATCGGCAAACCTCGCATTGGCAACCTACTAGCCTCACAGATTGGCATAGCAAGCAGAGTAAAGTGATATCACATTGTTATCACTCTGTTGTCACAAGAGGATGAAATAGTATAAAAAGGACTTGCTGGATGATTGTACAGACAGTTGTAGGGAATTATGCTTAAAGGTATGGGTGAAAGATGTGATTTAACAGACTTTGAATGTGGAATGATTGTGGGTATTAGAAACAGTGGAGCAAATATCAGCAAAATTGCATTGCTTGTGAAGTGTTTGAGAGCAGCTGTTGTTCACGTGTACAAAGAAGGGACTACCAAACAAGCAGATTTCAATGTAAGGCATGTGGTCGTCCTTGGCTGCTAGTTGCTTGAGCTGAAAGGAGAGTTGGAGTTGCCAGACTTGTCCAGTCGAACAGAAGAGCAACAGTACTTCAGATTACAGCTGACTTTAGTCAGGAAACATCTCTGATGGCCTCTGAATGAACTATTTGCTTAATTATACATAAAAGACCAGGATTATTTTGACTTATTTCAAAATTGAAAATTATGACTATACAAACTAAGTTTCAGTCCTTTTGTCTTTATTTATCTTTTCATTCCAGTCCAGGAATCACAAAAGAGCTGGCGACTTGAAGAAAAAATCTTCTAAAAATAACAGACAAATACAATTAAAAATGATCTCGGCATTGACTCTTTCTTGTAGGCTATGACCAGAAGGAACTGTTTGCTGTACATTACATCATCTTAGTATGGATGCCTAAGGCCTGTTCAAAAGCCTTTGTTGTCTGAAGTTAACAAGATCAAACAACTCCAATTTGCTCATAATTACAGAGATTGAATGATAAATGACTAGAAAAGGGTAACATGGTCTGATGAATCATGTTTTCAATTGCACCACACAGATGGCAGAGTGCAAATATGGAGAAAATAGCATGAAAGCACGGATCCCACATGCATTGCCATAACACTTCAAGCTGGTGAGGCAATGTTATGGTTTGGAGGATTTTTCCTGGCATTGTTTGGGCCCTTTGCTTTGAGTGGAACAACATCTGAATGATCAAAGACATTTAAATGTTACTGACCAAGTACATCCAGTTATGTTAATAACCTGCCCCACTGGAGATGGATACTACAAGTCGACCCCCGTATAAGATCATTGATTATTCCGTTTTATATGAATTCCATGTTGTACGAGTCACTTAGATTTTACAAATACGTGTACCGGGCTGTGAACGGCTCACGTATTTGTAAAATTTAAGTGACTTGTACAACATGGAATTCATATAAAACAAAATAATCAATGATCTTATACGGGGGTCGACTGTATACTTCCAGCAGGACAATGCTCCATGCCATAAAGCTCATATTGTCCAAAGATAGTTTGAAGAGCATGATGAAGACTTCACCTTGCTTAATTGTTCTCCACAATCATCAGATCTCAATCCAATTGAGCATTTGTGGGATGACGTCAAAAGGGACATCAGGCAGCTGGATCCAGAACATCCATTCTTAGTATACTGGAAAATGCAATTTATCAGATATGGTGACAGATTTTTCCCACCACTTACCAACATTTTGTAGAGTCCATGCCAAAGAAAATTCCAGCAGTATTGGAAGCAAAAGGTGGCCCAACAATGTACTGAGATAGTCATAATAAATTGGCCACTCTGTCTGAAATAAAGGTTTATTCATGGAAGTATTTATATGTTAACATATGTTTTGTTTAACTGTATCTATTCTGAATGCACATACATATGTATATATATTTCTATAATGTATATCTTTCTGGCATGTTTTTTAAGACTATTCAAGTTTTATATATTCCATGTTTTAATCTATTTTTCACCATTTTCTTGAAAAACATTAAATTGAGTTTCTACTGTATCTAGATTTGAAAAACAAAAATCATGCAATAGAACAACAAATGCATAATTAAATAAAATGTAATGTAAAAATTCAGAGGATGGACTTCACAAATTTTACATTATTCCAACTATTCTAATTTACAAGTAATTTTAATGATCTTTAAAACAAGCTTTCCGTAGTTTTGGCTAGTATTGTCATATTTGGCAATGTACCAAAGCTGACCAAAATTACACGTCTAAAACTTATTAGATGTCAAATAATACAGTTCTTGCCATATTTGTCTGAATTTATCTACAGATTTCTCTATTCATGTACAGTACAAATGTCGTCCATCCTTAAGTTTTGGGCATGTGTGTATTATTACTTTGCTGGATTAAAAAAAGGTTTCAACTATGAATGAAGTTAAATTATTCATCTGTACAATTTAGATATTATTATTATAAATTAAATAGAATTTTAATTATGGATTTCTATAAATTTGCTTGTAAAAAGTTAGCAAGAGTTTTATTTTAAGTAAATACTTGGATAATGCTATGATATTACAATAGACTCCTGCTTTACACTGTTGATCTGTTTCAGAAATCCCATTTTATTATGAAAATATCATGATGTGAACAAAATAATACATTCAAAGATCTTGAAAGTTCAAATCATTCTGTAGAATTAAATTATTTTCTTCACTAAAAATATGATTTTTTCTAATAGAATTATTATTTTCATTAAGATGATTTTATTACATGTTAAACCAATGTAAAGCAGGAGTATATTGTAAGTTTAAGGAGGCTCCACACATTTGATTGCCGAATAATTACCATTTGTCGAAGTGTTTTCACGTTGTGAGCACATACATATAATACACATGATTATTTGCTGAGCATCGGTTTGTTGACAGAATTATAAATGTCTGTGCAAGATTTGTCCCCTTTGATTCGGCATAATATACCAACAAGGAGTGGGAAACGGCAAATACGGAATAGTAATCTACACTACTTGGTATTGGCCAAATGTTTGCTTGACATTTGCCAAGTACCGAATTTGTGGAGCCACCTTTATATTAAATAAAATTATCATCATATCTAGATAATAAGATATATATTTTTTTTTTTGCTTAACAGAAATTCTCCAACAAATTGAAGCTGATCAAAATATGGATACCACATGATTGAAGTCACTTTAGTTTAAAATTCTTATTTAAACTAAGAGCACAAAATGTTAAATCTGTGATGGTAAAATTATCTCAGATTGAAACTTTTTACAAAATACAATAAAGTACTCAAATCGAAATACTTTTAATTAAAATTTTGTAAAAGTTAAAGAAAATAAAGGCGTTATTATTGTTATTTTCTATATATTTATCAAAAGATCATGCTATCTGGATCAATTTATCCTGAAATAAGGTCACTGAAAATAAAGCTAAGTGAACTTGTTTTGGATTAAAAGGAATGGAAAATATAAAGAGCAAAAGTTCATGTTGCAATCATACCAGAGCCAGTCTCTAAAATATTTGTGTATTTGATTTCTGTAAAGACTTCTGCTAAGATATTTGGTTTCTCATTAGGGGACCGGAACGATTTACGCAGATTTCTTACCAGGTAGAATTTTTTGTATGGTAGTCCACAGATACATCTAGCCTGGGCCTCATCCACAGCCACTGTCAACCAAATAAGTTGACATACAGACAGATGGGTTTCTTAAAAAGCATAATAATAGAGACTCGTATTGAATTTATGAAATACACTTGCATTCACTACATTAGCAGATGTGCAGAAGTAACATTCAAGTGATAATCTCACTAAATGGCCCTCTTGGATTCCTCTTCAAGCAAAGGAGGCTCCAGTGTTATTGAAGAGTAAATACTTACATAGAGATGGCATAACAGTCACTATATCTAAGTATCTACTTTACAATAAGGTTAGACCTTAGGTCTTGTATATTAAAAATGTTTATATCTCGATATAAGTTTGAAGCTGTATTAATTTACAGTACTAAGAAATTCTCAATTTTTATTTAATTAATTTTAATTTTTATAGGTTTTTTTCTTGCCTTAATTATTTTTATGGGACATTTATAAATTTCTTAAGTTTTCATCAATATACTGTATATATGAGTTTGTCTAAATGTAATTTTTGATTAAATAAAGAAATAAAAATCATGTNTGTAAAAAATTTTAAATAATTTTTTTCAAATATTAAGCTTGATTACACTCAACTGATTTTTTTAATTTTTCTAATTTTAAGAGCAGATTATTATCATTAACAATATTTCATCACTGTAGAAAAGTTAACAAGATTTCCTTCAACATATGTTCAAAGAGGACCTGTTTTTATTTTGATGTATTGCTATGTGTTTGTACTGTACTTAAGCAGTAACATGATGTAACAATAAAACATTTACAATGTAATAGAACAAAAGTTTTATTTTTTACTAGACACACAGTGCGTAGAATGCTTGTTGATAGACAGTACATGTTACAGCATCTTCAGCAATGTTTAAATAGTGTTCTTAAACGAAAACTGTTTTCAGGAGGTGATTTTACTTTCGATTACAATTATCTTTACTTCTTATATAAGTCCACTTTATCCCTTGCAGTTGTTCTCCCAGTCGAAGTAGAGAGGATAAACTCGAATGGTCTATTGTTTGTGTGACGAAATGGACCTTTCAAAACAACTATAACAGTAGTATCTTATAAATAATATTGTAAATCTAACAGCAGAAGACATGATAAACAAAGTCCAATAGGCGTCTGGGAATTTAAACTTTGAACGGGGTATGTAGACACCACCTGCAATTGACAAACCGAATTAGTGGAGTTAGTCGCTTTTTCTCTATTAGAACTTTTCTCCCTCTTAGATGGAGGAAGTTAAAAAGAAGTGTTCCCGCTTCTAGGATATTGGTTAGGATGGAATGAAGACAGGACGATAAACAATTTTCTTCGTGTTTACGTACAACTTCAGTAAAATGAATGAGTCTGTTCACACTTTTGTACTGTCGATTAAGAATTGTACAACATTTTAACTTAAGATATTGAGTTTGGATGGAGTCGAGGGCTTTGGTTTGGGTGGAAGTAAGAGGCGAATATTAGGAATTGTGTAGGTTATAACACTACCGATGATGCTATCGACAATTGTGAGATCTTTGGGGGAGCCGACCGTGTTTCTTATTGCAGAAGATTTTGAAGATGTTTATGAACGTAGATGATGAGACCTCCACCTTTATTATGGGCGTGGTATGTGAAGTAAGCGTTATAGTCCGGTAAATCTAGTGTACGGGTTGGTTGTATCCAGAATTCCTGGATAGTGATAATATCGTAATTTTTTACGATATTAATCACTAAGTGACTAAGTGTCCTCCGATGTAATTTGTGATTTTGTTAGTAAGGCTGGTAGCATTCTATTGGAGCAGTTTCATAATCGTTTGGTCGGGTTTTTGGATTGTGGAGTTAGCAGTCGACGTTGTGGTAAAGAGAGGAGGGAGATGGTTGAGGCGTTTCGTTCAGATTCTTGTTTGGTAGGTTTTGTTTTAGTTTTTTTAGCTCTAGCTGTGGTCGTATCATCTTTTAGTACGTGCGAGATCTCTCTTGTGCGACATTTTGTGGAATATGCGGCTTCCTCAGCGCTAGGTATGTTTTGCAGTTGTTGGTTGGGGGTGATTGTTGTCAGTGAGTGATATATGGTGGTAACGTTAGTGTCGGTGATTGGAGAGGATGAGGTATTAGACACATGGAGGCAATGGAGGAGGGGTCTGAATGGTTTTCTGGCGGGTTTTAGGTCATGGGCATGCACGAGGAACGCTTCGTAAGGTCTTCAAGTATCTGTATCATGTGGTTGAGGATGAGATTTTGTTTGGTTATAGCGGTTTGAATGGCGGTAAGTTGGGGGAAGATGTCAGAGTGATCAACAGGTTAATTTTGTTTTTGTAGTTGTTGATGAGTCGGACATGGGTCGTCTTGTCTACAGCCGTTCTTCACCGTTTCGCTGAAAGTGGATTGTCATTTACTGGTGCGTAGCATGTGGGTAAGTCGTGAGCAGTTATATTGTTTTTAATGGTGAATGATAAGTTCTATGTAATAAGACGAACAGTTTGGGGATGAGTATAGATGATGACCGAAACAATTGACACAGATGGGCTAAGGAGCAGGACATGTGTCACCATTATGCTGGTCACCGCATCTAGTACAGTGGAACTTGCTTCTACAGAATTGTTGAGTGTGGCCAAGACGGTTCCAGTTGTGGCATATCCGCTGACACTCTTTATATTCCTCTGTGCGATATGCTGACAGGAAAAGGCGGACACGCGTTGGCACGTGATCCGTCGCTAGTTCGAGTTTAATTGTTCCGATCGGAATGCGCTGGCCGTCATGTGTTCTGCTGAATCTCTGCACTCTAATTGGGTAGTGACCATCATCTTGGAGAAGTTCATAGATTTCTTGTGCATTCAGATCAGTGGGGACGACTTTGATTACGAGAGTTTTAGTGTTGAAGTTGAGAGTCAAAGTAATGTGAATCGGGATGTCAATCTGTGAGTGAGATATACCGTCACAATACCGTCCTTTGTCACTACGCGACAAAGGACGGTATTGTGGAAACAAAGTTTCCCGGTTTTAGTGGTTGATATGTTAGTGATTTTGGCATTGAGATCGGAGTGGTGGCGTTTTAAGTGTTTGTATAAAGTCTTTCCGTCGAGTGTTCGGTCCACAGAGGCCGACTGTATGATGCAAGTAGCATTGTTTAATTTAAATTGATGTTCCCAGTGGTAAGCCAATGCGTAATGTTGTCAGGAGTGGGACGGACATGGTAGACCCAGTAGGTCGAACATTGTTGTGGTGTCAAAGAAAGTTGATGATTAACGGACGCTGCATCGTCCATGGGGGGAATGAATGGTGGATGGTTTCATCGTTGGGTTGATTGATGAGATTTGGGTTAGTAGTATTTTTTTGGTGTAGGAGTGTCTCCTAGATAGGGAGGGTCGTAACCGCCCCCAAACCGCGGGGATTCCTTCCGCCGAGTTACTAATCGCGGGATTAGTACTCGTCGCCCTGTTGGAGACCTCACAGGGCACAATTAGTGGTAAAGTACGAAAAAAAATAAAGCTTTACTCCACAGGAGAAGGCCACAGGTAAACAAACTTCCGAGTGAACAACGTGCACTAATAGGAGACGTCTAACTTTTCAACTTTAGAAGTTTTCCACTATCCGTTCCACTTTACTAAGCAATGGTTACGTCCCCGCCCTGTCGTAAGAGACCCATTCTCGTTTAACTCGTTCGACTTTACGAACGTACCCTAGGAGAGGAAACGAACGGGACTTCATATTTTGAAACAGCGCTCCCTATTTATGTGAAAAATTACAAACTGCTACACATTATATACAACATATAATCAGGCAATAAAAATTTACAATAAAACTAATGAGTCTATAAATTTTTAAATCTATTTAATTATAGTAAAAACAAAAAAAACGAAGAAATACCGACGTCGGGACCAAGACGGCCGGACAGCCGATACGGTCGAGACGAGGATTTTTATACGACAATAAATTTTCAATATAAATTATTGACGTATTTAATAGAAGAGATTAAAAATTATTCTTAAATATTTAGCAAAATATTCAAATTATTAAAAGAACGTCGATATTTGATGTTACTATACTGTATTTTACTTTTAATTTTAAAGCTCTTAGTTTTATTTTTTTATATATATACTAATATATTATAATTAAAAAAACAACTATTTACTTTATAAACGCGTTTTAAAAATACGTTTAACGTATTTAAATACCGTCAAGCAATTTAAATAATTTGAAATATCCCTGCGCACTACCGATACAGTCTCCATCTGACGTTAAAATTTATAAATTGTAAAATTGAATTTTCAATTGACAACCCGTACTAACGATATGTATATTTGAGTTTAAAATAAGAAATATATAAAGCGTTATTAGCGGATATCGGCGGAAATTTAATTAAAAGACGAGTTTAAGACGTGACGACAGAACCACGTGACGGATAATTATCATTCCACGGGTCACGTGAGCTTTCCCGCCAATTTTTGTCAACCATGTGCCTACTTCTATAGAGCGACAGTAGAGAGACCGCTAGAGATCGAACGTAATTCGAAGGTATTATTCACTCTTCGTGGTTGTGCTTAAGTAAACATGTGGGTCCAGGTACGTAGCATGGATGGTTCCAAGTCGATTCGCGTGGACGAATTGTCGAAATTAACGAAGATCGACGAACTTAGGAAACGTTTGGTACAACACTTCGACGTGCCACCCGAGAGACAAAGATTGTTCTATCGTGGGAAGCAACTGGAAGACGGTTACACCCTCTTTGATTATGACGTCGGATTGAACGACATCATTCAGATAATCGTAAGGCCCGTTGTGAACGAGAAGAAAAACGATGAGAGTAGCGAAGACGAGAGTGTTACATCTAACAAGGAAAACAAGATGGATTCGCCGTCCAGTTCCGATGTTAAAATCGAAAGTAAATACTACAAAGTGGGAGAGTGCATAGATGCCAGGGATTTGAATAATGGTGCATGGTTCGAAGCCAAGATTGTCAAGATAACAGCGAAAGACTCCAACGAGTTGAAGAGGCAGTTGAGCGAGAGTGGAAATTGTGGAATGGTGAGTGGTAATTCGAATCATCTGGCCAAGCCGACAGAGGACGATCTGTATTTTTACGTTGTTTTTGATACCTACGAAGACGACGATCCCACTCCGCTCACGTTCGAGAACATCCGTCCCCGGGCTAGAACCGTGATTAACTTTGACGATATCCAGGAGGGTTCCATGGTTATGGTGAATTACAATATGGAAGAGCCGACCGAAAGAGGGTATTGGTACGATTGTAAAATTACTTGTAAGAAAGGGAAGGATTTGTTCGGATCTGTTCTTGTGGATCCGAGTCTCACACCCGTTAAAAACTGTCGTATAATTTTTACCAAAGAAGTATTTAAAATTGAAGAGCCGATGAAACTCAATCAGCGGAGTAACGAAGAAGAGCAACTTATGACCCAGGGATCTCCAGTGAAACGACAGAATAAACCAGAGTGTTCCCATTGCAAGGATATTATAAAAAGAAAGTGTATATATTGTGCTTGTCATTCCTGTGGAGGAAAAGATAATCCGGATAAACAAATACTTTGTGATGAATGTGATATGGCTTATCATATTTGGTGTCTTGATCCTCCCCTCGAGAAAATACCAGAAGATGAAGATTGGTATTGTCCGGAATGCAAAAATGACGAAACGGAAGTAGTGCGTGCTGGTGAAAAATTAAAAGAAAGCAAAAAGAAAGCTCGTATGGCATCAGCTACTAACAAATCTAACAAGAGGGATTGGGGAAAAGGAATGGCGTGTGTCGGAAGAACAAAAGAATGTACAATTGTACCACCGAATTATTTTGGACAAATTCCTGGAGTCGAAGTGGGAATGTGTTGGAAGTTTAGAATGCAGGCTTCTGAAGCCGGCGTTCACAGGCCTCACGTGGCTGGAATTCATGGACGAGAGACAGATGGTGCATATTCTATCGTTCTTTCTGGTGGTTATGAAGATGATCACGACAATGGAGATGAATTTTTCTATACAGGTAGCGGAGGTCGAGATCTTTCTGGTAATAAACGCACGGCCGAACAATCTTGTGACCAGACTCTCACGAGAATGAATAAAGCTCTTGCCTTAAATTGTGCAGCATCATTAAATGAGAAAGGTGCTAAAGCTAAGAACTGGAAAGAAGGTAAACCTGTTAGAGTTGTGAGAAACTGTAAAGGAAGTAAACATTCAAAATATTGTCCAACCGAAGGGAACAGATACGATGGATTGTACAAAGTTGTAAAATATTGGCCAGAAACTGGAAAGTCTGGATTTTTGGTTTGGCGTTATCTTTTGCGCAGAGATGATCCCACTCCGGCTCCGTGGACAAAAGAGGGTAAAAAACGAATAGCCGAACTCGGAATAATGATGCAGTATCCCGAAGGTTATCTCGATTCGATCGCCGAGCAAGAGAACGGAAGCCAAAGTAAGAAAGGAAAAGGTAAACGAGCTTCTGATAGTACAAATAACCTTAGTCCAAAAAAAGCGAAAATTCTTCCTCATACATTGCCAAACGAAATTAAAAAATTGATAGATGACGATAAAAAGAATAAAAAAATATGGGAAGAATGCGAAGAATATTTAAACGAAGGTAAACAAAAATTTTTAAAAAAGATTGAAGAATTGTTTTCTTGCATTTGTTGCCAAGAAGTTGTATATCAACCCATCACCACAGAATGTTGCCATAATATCTGTAAACCTTGTTTACAAAGATCATTTAAAGCCGAAGTATATAATTGTCCTATGTGTCGTAATGATTTGGGTAAAGATTATATAATGCATTCGAATAAAAATCTGACAAAAATCTTGCGTTATCTGTTTCCAGGTTATGAATCTGGACGTTCCAGTTAAACATCTTATTGTTTTATTTTGTTAAACTGTTGTTATCCATGGTAAAAAAAAAAAACAGTTAAGCCCAAAAAAAAGCCAAAATAAATTGTTTTGTATGAATTAGCAAAACAGTTATGGTTTAAATGTATTATGAATATAAAATATATATATATATATATACAGCAAAATTGAAGTAAAAATATTAAATATTGTAAATTTAACAATATAGTGTTTTAACATTTGCAAAATTTAAATCAAATTGTAATGTAAGAAATACAAACAAAAAATTTGCATTATCAAAATATTTTGAAATTTTAATAGATTTTAGTTGTGATGTTATGTGATTGTATCAGTTTAAATGGAAGATGTATGTTTTGATGTAAAATGAAGTTTATTTTGGACAGTATAGTTTTGAATCTTTCATCTTATAATTGTCTTCTATGTAATTTAGTGCCAAGAAATGTTTACAATAAAATTTTATTGTAGCTAAACATATAATTAGTTACTTTATGTATAAAATTACTTTGTAATTTGACGTGTTATTGAGTTCTTTTAATATATTATTTATATTCCTCTTTTAATTAGGCCTCGATATTAAAATTTTGTCAAAACTTAACACACTGAACTAGTACTATCGAGATGTCTCATGAATTTAATCCGTAAATGGCATTTTATATTAAAACAAATCATATGAAACTCATTTTTGTCAAATATATTTACTAATTCACAAAAAGATTTTAAACTGTTATAGTTTAAATGTTTAATATTCCAATCGGAGATGTATTAATATGTGGCTAGGCCCCTAGCATTTCAATCTTTTGCCCCACTATACAGTGGTATGTTATAGCTTTGTGTGGCCCAGTCAAATTTGAATTAGGGGACCCCATGTACAGTGTTGACTTAAGACATTTTTTGGGGGAATATTTTTGTATAAAAGATTGTTAGGACTTTAAGCAATTGTCCTTTTTGCCCATAAGATAATGTGCCACTGCCACTGTAGCTGATAGCCTGACTGGTATGACAGGTAAGCTATTAGACTACAGTAAATAGACCTATTTTTGTAAAACAGTCCTTTCATTATTATTATTTTTTTTTTTTAATCTTCCTAGGCCCTAGACAGCCTAGTGTGCTTAATCATAAAATGGACCAGATTCTGATTTGTAAGTATAAAAATTATTTATTATTAGTGTGTTTATATATACAGCAGGTTGTAAATCTTAATTTCTTTGCTATTTTAAACAGAAAAAGCTATATCAGTATTTTGAATGAAAAAAATTGAGACTAATATTCAATACTTGTGCATTTAATTTAGTATAATGTAAGTTATAGAACAATTGGCATCCATTAATTTTTTATTTGGTAGTAATTGTTCATATCCAAGAGTAAAATATATTTTATTTAATTACAATTGAATCTATAATAATTTCATTTTGTTTCATGAGTTTTAATAAAGATTTTCTTTCTTGCCTACTATTGTAATTCATTTAATTCATACACATTTTATTTTAATATAATAATTATTGAATAGAAAAAAATTGTCAGTAATATTATTAGAGTTTTTTATTTCTATATAAGGTATGTTTAATACATACACATATAAAGCTTTTCACCACCATTATTTTTATGGGACATTTATAAATTTCTTAAGTTTTCATCAATATACTGTATATATGAGTTTGTCTAAATGTAATTTTTGATTAAATAAAGAAATAAAAATCATGTAACTGATATACATAGCATGGTAAATTATTTTCTGCAGTTGTTTAAAACTGAAATAATTTTTCCATGAACAATGATGCCAGTATTACTTGTTAAAAGCAGAAATGAAAACATTAATTCCTGCAACATCTCATAAATTTATACTTGTTTCAATGAGTGAAATTTCATACAGATCATCAAACCTGCCTCAAATGAATTCAGTCTTCATATAATTATTTCCAGTTCCAATCTTCATGAAGAGTGATCTTGGGAAGATAGTTAATATGAGATTTGTATCAAGAGCTTTCATCATCTACGTAGTTCTTTTAACAATTATTGATATCTGAGATTATGATAATAAGACATGTTTGCAACCTTCCCAACCATTGAACTAATGCAAATAGCTGGCTTCTAATCAATAAGTTGTTTTTAAGAGGTAATTAGGGGTGCAAATTGACTTTCAACATACTTTCTTAATTAATAAACTTAAGTATACCTCCATATTTGATAGAGACACATTTCATAATGCTACTCTATTAATTTGGAATAGGAACATATTGAAACCTGTGTCCCAATCTGTATATTTGTTGCAAGCACACTATTTTGTCTTTTTTTTTTTTTATGAATTAAAATATTCAATAAATCACCAAACAATCGCCTAAATATCGGGCTAATTAAATGATTGGTATAAAGTAATTGGACCCTAAAGGTAGACATTAGGCGATCGTTTGGTGATTTATTATTTACTACTCGGGCTTTGTGATGTTATTTGTAAAATATTCAATTTACCAAATTTATTTTATGCAATTTATAAATTTTACCAAACCTACATTGATTATTTAAATAGCTGAGAGAGCTCTTTTGTGGAAATGAAAGTATTTGAATGGGTTCTATTATGAGAAACCCCTCTGTGGGCAGGTAAGATTGAGGAAAATGTTTCATTTGTTTCCAGTCCCTGGAACTCAAATGTAAATAACAACAAACTATTTAATGAAGTTTTCTGTATTAAAAGTTATGTTGCCAGTGAAAGATCTAATGCTGACAAAACAATAAGTTCTACCAATATAGAGGGTTGAAATTTTTACGTATTTTGCAGATAAACATGAATCTTTTAAAACCATTTTAAAAATCATTTAATTTTGCTTATGCCTCCACTTATTAAGTATTTTCATTAGTTTATTTTATTTTATTACCAGTAAACATTAAATGCATATTTTATAATTTATCTTAAAGTTTCTTCTAATGAACACTCGAGGTAGAAATATTAAAATTTCTTATGTACTTTAAAACTAAGTTCAAATTTATTATAAATTTTTGTCTATAAACAAGCATTCACTATTATAAGGACTTATTATACTGGCTTTAGCCAGTATAATAAGTCCTGATAATAGTGAATGCTTGTTTATAGACAAAAATTTATAATTTAGTAAGAAAAGGACATTGAGGCATTTTAATTAAGTTCAAATTTATATTTTCTTAATTATTATTGCATCGACTACCCTATTATACAGTTGCATAATAAGATATTGGTGTAGTAAGTTTATTTCATTTTTTTATTTTGATATTTAGAAACATCAATTACTAGATTTGTTGTGATTTTATTATTTAATGAAAACACAAATGTCATATAATTATAAAGAAGCCAGTTTATTACTAGTGATTGAACATTTATATTCAATATTCAAATTTATGCAGTTGACAATAGGCAGAGAAATGAAATGTTATACTAAAAACTTGCTTAGATATATAATTATTTACATGAACTGTTTTCTGTACTTTATTCAGACACAAAAATTTTATTATTTAAATAATACAGTCCTGTTAACCTATATATTGTAACAATGAGGGATGACACAGTCTGAAACAAGATACAATCGCCATGGTCTGAGGGACATAGTTTATAAATTGTAAACTGTAGAAAGTGCTTCTACTTCCAAAACATAGAAGTACTTATACTTCCTCATTACAGAGTAACACAAGTTTTTGAAATTTCTAGAACGTGAATGTCCTAGAATCAATAATTTCGGAACAAGAACATAGTTGACAAAATGCTGTCTGAAGACATATTGAAAATACAGTTTGAGGGATACTTATGGAATGCAGGATTCTCTCTGGGAACAAGACAGTTGACAGTCATAAATATATCATATAATCCTTATTTTACATATTTTATTAATCAAATAAGTCAGTAAATCATATTGTATGTGTCACTCTTTACAAATATTAATTAATTTATATTACTTGAATTAATTTGAAATGTTATAAACCTTTTATATAATTTGAATAAAAACAAGTTGCACTATGATTTATAAAACATGGTTGTTATGTAAATATGAGAAACTAAATAGGATATGACCTTGTTAGTCATATCCTAGTGTATATATTTTCCTTTTTAATCTGTAAAAGGATTTTCCTGTAATGTTAACTGCGTTATTTTCTAGAACTTTTAATATCATTTTATATTTTCAATCTGTTTTAATAAACTTGATAAAGTAAGTTTAAATTTGAAATTTTACAGGATGTTTGTTTAATTTTTAAAACGTTGTTTCCTAACTTGATATTACTTCATTAGATATTTTTAATAATTTGAACATTGGATAATTTAAAGTTTTTTTTTTAACCCTTTCCACCCTAAAGGCAATAAGACAGCCTTTTTAGCAAGCCCATTATGGGCCCACAATAGAGTGGTAAAGGACAGGGTCCAACATATCTAGATAGACCACCCCAAAAAATTCCTGGATTTTTTTTCATAGATTGGATTTAATCACAGATCATCTAGAGCACAAAGCTACCATCTTACATGAATATCATAGTGTTCTTAGACAAACCTTATATGCTACTGTATACTATTTATATAGGCTAATGTAACACAATGATGAGTACTTATGTACATAGTATGTATGTATCTAAACATAGGTACAAGTGGCTACAAATTTTTCAGCTCCATTATAATCTTATGGTATCTCCATTACATTAGGTCCATCATTCAGTAGAATGTCATTAAGCGGAACATAACTATATTAGCATTTTTTTAGCATAAAATTAACTTTGTTCAATATATTTAAAAATACAGTAAAACTTCTCCAACTCAAATATTTATTTAACTTGAAGAAAATGAAGCATTTAGTAGGTTCTCTAACTTGAATCATCTGTAACTTGAAGTTTTTTCCCACCCCTTGTAGCTTCGAGTTAGAGAAGTTTTACTGGTCTAATACAATGTAGATTTTCAACAAATTATTATATATATTACTAACATTTTCTAAAATATTGCAAGTATTAAAATTGTTTAAAATAAATCAATTCATAAGAGAAAAATTAGCATAATAAATGAAAAATTTTATTGTATTTATTATATTTTTCTTAATTTAAAAATAAATTTCTAATTTGT